AGAGTACTCATAGATCATAGAATCATGGGGTTCAGAGTATATAAAAGCATGATGTGTGTATTGGCCATATTGGAACACCATCAACCAGTAAGGTCTTGTGGGTATATGAATCCCTGAGGAAAAGGTTAAAATGAACTCAGGGTATTCATGTTCTTACACGAGACATAGGAACATATTATTAGGAGATAAACTCCTAAGTAGTGGGTGCTACTAGTAAAATTCGAAATTGGCAAATGTCTGGTCATAAGTTGACATATAATGAGGTAGTAAGTAGCATATGGTTCACTGGATTAATGGTTAAAGGAAAACCATGAAAGTGAGAAAAGGAAATTCTCAAGAACAGCATTGTTCCTAAGCTGTTCATAGACTGATATTATGCAGCTGCAAGTAATATGGTATACTAAGAAAATACTTGGTACAATCAGTCCATGTGTATTATACAAAAGGTGTATAGTAAACTAATCCATGAAAGGGATGGATGGTTCAATGATTATGTCATTGATATTTGTGTTGAAATCAGCACTACCACACTTCATAAGAAGTGGACGTATGGAAAGGCTAAGGAGGCCGTATGGTCCATACCAAAGTTCATACCGACCAAGGCTAGGTCCGGATACATTCTAAGTCCAAATCATCCATGGGAGATGACTAATATGTTGGTTCAAAACGTGCTTATGACCTAGAGGTACTAGACTATCAAGGTGCATAGTTTAAAGGTCCTAAGGAACCAATATAGTATAAACTATATCTACACATCACCACACATGAGTCATGTTGTTAAGGCAACATTAGGTTATGATATAACCACTCATTGGCGAGTTGTTGACATGTGTGGGTAAGGTCCATGACCATAATGTACTTTGGTACGTTGCTTAATACAAGGAGGTCATGGGACACCATCAAAGGAAGTATGGTATGTGATGTTTAAGTACAAAGGTTATAGTGTGGGACTTGAATGTAAGCACGACCATTAAGCTTTGCATTAATGGATAAAGAAAACTATAAGAGTCCAAAAGAGTGACCAGAAGTAGGCATGGTTAAGTCCTAATAGATATGGTATTGCTAAAGGCAAGAAAGGTCGATAAGTCATGTATAAAGGTCCATGAGCATTTGCTGCAGATCCATGGATTGGATGTAATATTCATTGCAGCAACTGGTGAGGTAACTCATAAGGTTATGGACGTGATAGTTAAGGACTATTACTTAACATGAACTTACCCAAAG